TTTACGCTTGAGTGCTTAGTTCTCTTGGATATCATATTATATTTTTATGACCAGTCATTATGTTCAGTTGTTAGCGAGAAATAGATTGGATTAAAGCATTCTCCATGCACGGTTGCGTTGACGCACTCTGATTGGCTATTTCTTATCCAATCAGCGCAAGCCGATACTTGGTGAACACTCTAGAATCTTTTCATGTAAAAACTATAAATATACTAACGTTTTTCTTATTGTGCTTCTTACTTCCAACTACCCTTGTTATTCGGAATATAATTTTTTTCCTGTTCAACTGTGTTCTGATTTGTGGATTTTTGGAGTGAATTGGTGTTCAAGAATATCAAACAATAGGAATAATTCGGTTGTAATATGAAGGAATTATAACATCAGTGTTGTTCATTCACCAGAATTTTTGAGTTAAAAATCTTGATTCGTTAATAGTCATCATTAGACTAGTCTATTTAGAATGATTCAGGCGATCATTGAATACAATTTTATACATTTAATCAGCTGTTAGAAATATGATTTAAAAGAAATGAATAAGATTTGATAAAGGAAAATATCGAATGATAATGAACTAAGTATTTTGAATATTAATAATTGACTATGCAAGTGTTCATGGTTGGAAAATGATTAGGTATAATATAAACTACTGAATAGTATTAAACAGTATGGAGTAGAACATAAAAGGGCCGTGACGGAAATAATAAAGACGTGAAGATATTGAACATACAGTATTATCAGTATAGGGTTGTGGAGATTATTAATATCATGAATCGATTGATTTTAGCTTCGTGAGGGAATTCTCGGAGTTCTAGTGAGAAGCCGTGACCAGTGGAGCTAATCCGTGTCGGGTAGAGACAAGTATCTACCGCAGTACAATGGAAAATGATTGGGCAATTTCGTGGATTGGTTAAGGTTAGACATTACTGTTATATCCTAGCGAAGATTAAATCACGAGTAACTTCTGAGATAACATCTATGAACAGTTTGGTGTTAAATACCAACAGTTAGAGCTGTTGATCATAGTCCTGTAATCAAGCTAGACTCTAATTGCTAGCTCTACATCATTTGAAGCCCAACTCTTAACTCTAAAACCCCTCGAACATAGCTCCCAATCCTAAAACTGCCTAACGTTAATTTACTAACTTGACCGGTTTATTCCACAAGAAAACCTGTTATATCCGAGCGAAGATTAAATCACGAGTAACTTCTGAGACATATTAATTGACTAATAGTATCTATACATTCTTATGGTGTAACGATTCAATAATTAGATTGTGTATATTTATAGTCCTCTTATTATAAGCTTTATTTTGACCTATATATTTTTATTGTACGATTTACTGTTCTTAAGCTATGTTCAGTTTATTGACTACTGCCTCCCACATTCACAGCCACCTTTTGGCTTTATTGTGTACAAATGTTATTTCCTATTTTATGGTGCGTTGCGGTCTGTTTGATTGATATATAAACCCAGTATGTCTGAAATAAATGATTCGATTCGCATAGTGGGAGCTGGTATTGGTGTTCTGGACTCAAGTGGACAGGCTATGCGGATATAGGACCAATAAGGACGCTAGGCTGCTCATACCGTTCGAACGTCATTGGTTTGGCACAGTGCTAAGATTGTATAGGTCGTATTTTGATTGGTGGATAAATCACGTGATAAGAAGCTGGACATAAAATCATAACAATTACCACCGCTGGATGCCGGCTCAGTGGTCTGGAGGTCAAGTGTTCACGCGCGTGACTGAAGGCCCTGGGTTCGAATCCTGCGAGCGGGACCTTAGATGCACTGCTGCGGAGTTTCGCGATAGGATGAAAGTGTTAGGATCCGAGTTATACCCAGTAGATTAATTATTGCTTGATATGATGTAAAGAAAATTCAATTTTCGATTGATTTACTCATTATGAGTTTTGTTCAAGATTACTGCCCTTCTAATTCAATGTGATGATCATTCAGTGTAGTATTTGATTGTTTTCTCAGTATAATATTTTCTTCTGTATAATATACGATATTTTTGTATTCACTTGACATGAACTATGCTCAGTAAGGGATTTGTTATAACTGAGTATGTGATCTAATCGTAATTATTAATCAAAATGGGTGTACAATCAATATATAAACCAGTGTATTTTAGACTATATTCGATTCGTCGTTGTCATAGTGTTTGGAGCTAATAAATCTTCACTTATACCAGTCTTGTGTTCTTACTTTCGCATCGTGGGAATTCCCGAGGTCCCTCGTTCCGAGTATAAGTGATCAGCGTTGTTCCGGCACAGCAATCAGCGACGACCAGATATAACAGAAACGACCGTCCAATGCTTCCAGGTTTCCAATGCTGGTCTAACATATAGTACTAGTAATTCTTAAAATAAAATTACTAAAGAAGAAGATATTGATAATAAAGTCAGAGGTAATATTAGAGAGAACAGGGATTATTTTTGGTCTCCCACTAGAGAAATACTTTTTATAAATGAATGCGAAAAATATAAAGAGACAATAATTGGGGAGAAATTGTTTCAATCTGTTTATCAGATTAATGAACATAACGAAAAATTTAATTGCTAATTAGCAATTAAGAGGAAGTTAATAACTAAAAATGCTAATGAATTAATTCACTGATTGATAACGAATGATTTTATTGGTGACCAAGGAATTATTATTATGGCTGCTATTTTGAGATGGTGGTCGGACTTGTCTACTACGATAACTCAGTTGATGATAATACTAAACACGGTAACTTAGGGCCTGAGAGTGAAGTCTTCTAGATATTTATTTGACGGGGTAAGGATTTTTTTCACATCACAATTTCGAATTCATTTGAGGCTATTTCCTAATAGATTCTGTTTACACAAAGGTGTTTACTAACTAATAATCTTTCCATTTTTATGTAACTTGAGCAATTTTCTTTTTTTATTCCAAAGATCATGTAGTCTAATCGACTGCACAGTGCACAAAGTAACAACAATAGTGAATTTTCGTATTTGTTAACTATTTATTGATCAAACTTACTGAGAAACAGGAACAGAAGGTAAATGATTTTGTGTTCGTTTAGTGAACGGGAATTCTAGGAAATAATAGAGCAAGAAGTCATAAGTGTATGTTAGAGAGAATCTTTGGAGATTTTCAAACAAAATACAGACTATTATCCCTTATTCATTGCTTTACAGGATAGAATAATCAAAATCATTTTCAAATTTCTTAATTTTCGATTCTTAAATTCGGATATGTTTAATTATATCTATGTATAGCACTGACAAACGAAGTCATTTTCATTGTTTATGCCTTACATTAGATGGCATTACGTAAAACTCATGAATGTGTAGATGTTAAGCCTTCAAAGAATTTTGGTTTTTATACATTATGTATGAATTTATTAATACGGATAAAACAGCATACTTATAAATGAAGTTTGATTAGTTCAAACAAATATATTTACTTTTAAGAAGTGGCTTACATCAAAGTCACGAAACGTCAATGAATACAATTTTTCTACTCAATGGGATATTACAAAAAATATATTCATTATGAAGTTCGATTATGTTGGTTAAGTGATTTGAGAGTATCCTTAACTTTTGATCATTCTTCTGTAGATGTACCAAATCATGCTGATCCAATGATCAGTGAGACATAGCTAAGAGTGGATTGAAAAAAGATTCTCCAAGCTGTTTAAATATTGGACCATGTCTTATGTTTTGTGTGATACATTATCTTACTTGTTAGTATTCAGTAGTGTATGTTATGTGCAAACATTTATCGGACATATTTCGATTAATTTATATTTTCTGGTTACAGTGAGCTTGTTATGTCATTTATTTATTTTAGGTCGTTTTCTTAATTGTGATGATAATTTTAAAATCTTTTTATGATGTTTAGTAACACTTTGTGTGACTATTTGTATTGAAAAGCTTGCCTAACCACAGCTTCATTCACTTTCGTTAACTGCTGTTACTTGTTTGACGCTGCAGTTTAATATTCTCTATTAATAGTAAATTTTATAATGTTGTTAACATCCGAGTTCATACTTTCTTCTTTTTACTTTTTATTGAACTGTTCAATTGAATCATAGATGGTTTCTTCGGTCTTTCTTATTCAGATTATTTTCATTTTCAGACACTACTCGTCTTGTGATTTCAAAGTTTTGTAGTGTTGGTTGCTATATTAAGCCCATACAGCTTATTCTAGCTTGTGGACAATCCAATTTGTTCATTCTTCTCAAATCACATTTTGACCTTTTTAATTATTCCCTTATCAAAATTGACTTTTTATATGAGCGTATGTGTGTAAATTTCTTATCCTATTCATCGTATGTCTGTAGCTTATTTTTGTTCGACAATAAATATCGATTCACGCTTGGTTAAGTCGAGTTGACTCACATGCCTTCTCCAATGTGCGTCATTTCGCTTTGTTCTCTCTTCTTTACTTCTTTTGCTACGACTCTCTGGTTGCCTGTTCCGATCAATGATTGTACAAGATCACAATTGATTGATCACTGGGTGGTGATCAATGTCATATGTGTCAAGCACTTATTTAGTGCAGATCGAATGCTATCGACCATGTTACAATGTTTCCACCAGTCTAGGTGACTCGACAGGGAGCCACCAGGGAGCACCAGTTCCCTCAAGATTACAGGTACACCTTGCTGACGGGTGCCAAGTAGCACGAAACCCGGGTCCAGGGTTTCCTGTCGACTACCTCCAACCACCATCTAATTGTACAAAATATACGTACTCGAAATACGTTCTCGTATTTGACTTATTTTAATTCCGTTATTCACTAACGCGTGTTAAGTTGACAATTATATACGAGGACGGCTGGGATGTATATTTTGACAACAATCATTGATACCATCTAATTGGAGCCAGATATATGGCCAATAAAGTGATGAGCCCACCGATAACATCGTCCGATTTAACTGACGTCAAAATAAGGGGACCCACTAAAGTTTTATGAATCATACGATTTTTAGGTTAGAATACTTAAATGTATATTATACAGACAAGCCTTCTCTACAGTTATCAAAAAAACTAAAAGAATGGAATGAATGTACAGTTCCATTTAATTTAAACAAATGTAAAATATTATGATTGGAATAATAAAATTCATAACAAGTAGAATCTTCAATAAGTCTTTAAAGTAACCATTTACAATAGACAAAGATGATGATGAGGTTGAAGCAGCTGAGCATAAACCTTGTTTGTCATTCGATAAAATATTCTTTTGTATACTTGGATCATAATTATTTGGATCTGATTTTGATAAAAATGATGAATTTTGTTTTAGTGATGGGATAAGACCAGAATTATTTGTGAACCAAAATGTTTGAAATCGATTAACATATGGATCAGCTGTATTTTTTTTAAAGAAAGAAAGAAAGAACGTAGTCAAGATAACACCTACTATTAAAAAGTAACAGTTAAAAGAATATTATTATTTGTTTGGATTATGAGTACGAGGGGGGAAACATTTTCTCCAATTTGTCATCTTCAGTCAGTAAATAATCGTTAATACTATGTGGTGAAATGCGTGTTTCATTCAGTTTAGAAATATCCCCACGTATATATTCAAAGTAATCATTCGTGTTTTCTTTAATTGTTAGATAATTTCTGAAATGAATTCATTGTTATCTACTTAAACAATTTTTTCTCGATCAAGAGGTTTGTGGGAGTTAGTTTAGTTTACAGATGACTCCCTTTACAAACTAATGTTAGTTAGTGAACTGGTAAGAAGAGGAGAGCACTAAATAGCTAATTTTTCATAGACAGAACACAGATCTGGTATCTAATCAGGAGCTTTCAAGTTCAACAACATGAGCGTAACTTTCAGACCAGTGGTTCAAATTCATTACACAGCATGAAATTTACTAATGAGGAACTACAGATGTGTTTGAGCTTCTTCAGTTACAGATTCTCAGTGATCAGTCAGTGTTCATGTTTCACACCTACATGCAGTCAGTTATAGTCCAAATAGCTCAGTGGTTGCAGTTCAAACTGTAACATTGAATAAATCAGTTCCCTCAAAGTTGCAGATACATCTTACTGACAAGTGCTAAGTAGCACAAGATTCAAACCCATGGCTTCTTTTCGATTATCATTAATGCAAAAACTCAAAAAAGCAGAGGATTATTTTAGTTATAGTAGCTGAGAAAAAAATAAACTAAACGAAAAAGTGTTAAACATGCTACGTTTTTTAAATACTTGTGATGAAGCGATACACTTGATCTGAATTCTCAGAAAAAAATCAGATGAAAAACTTACATAGCAATCCAGTGAAATCTCCATTCACGATTCCCAATCGCATGTTTCTTGAATGGCAAACACTAGGTTGAGCTAGGAAAGAAAACAAAATAACTAAGTGAAAAAGCATTCGTCAAATTATGATATCCCATTTATTAATATGATATATATGCCGTTAATGTCAATAGATTCTTGACTACATCATTAATCCCCAAACAGCTTTCCTTCCTATTGAATTGATTCAGTAATAGCGTATATAATAAGAAAGCTCTCTTTTTCATTATGGAGCTAACTCTGTATTCAGAATTTGAGAGTTTACATTTCGACTCCGAATAGAATGATATAATCCTTTTGATCTATTGACTGAATGATGTAAATGTTTCAACACTAACAACTGATACGCACTTAGCTTTCATAACTCATTTTGTTGTTGCATAAAACTAAATAAAATGTCTTCACTTAATTTAAACTCCAGTAGAAATATAACATACTATCATATCGCACTTTCTGATTTATATTATTTTTCCGGTTAGTGTCACTTTGTAAGGAAACCTGTCTTCGAACTTAACACATCTACAATTACTTGATTAAAGGCTCTGTAGAAACATAAAGTCTAGTAAAAGAAGTAGAAATTTAGCTTATTAGATCCTCCCAGATAATATTCGTATCTTCATTTGAGAAGATTGTACAAATTTAACCTTAAGTTGCTTTTCGTTAATGATTATCATCAAAGCAAGGGACCAGTGAAAACCATGAATCACTAAACAGCTATTTCACCTTAGTATGGGACATCTCAGTGGAGTACATCCATGACCATTGCTGGCGTTTCATCAACAGTATTCAAATCTATGCGTTTTACTCCAATGTATTACATAAATGATTTCATTCATTTCATAGAGCGGAACATTACTCAATCTTATATGTAGATATTTATTTCATTTTCAACATGTTTAAATAACACTAATCATGACTTCTTACTAAGAACTTCAGCAATTCATCAGTTTCCATTCAGCATACAATTATTGTTCAAGATGATTTTCATCATCAATTAATATCAACCAATAAATCATTGACATATTTCAATTCAAAGTTATTGATCTGTAGATAAATTACATAGATGATTCAAAATTAGTATAACTTTGTCAAGTTTTATTCCTTATTTTCAACGGAACATATTCATACACATAGTTCCCTTTATCATTTTGAAAAGAGCAAGAACAAACGTTCTAACAGAATAGCATGAGTTCATTTTTATTTCGTTGGTTCTCGTCAGCTGCTTGCAGCCTGTGATATTTAAAATCATAATTACATAATGGGTTTAAATTACTTACATGAGAGGGTTTAGTTGGAGGTTATATTGAAGACATATTCGTATAGTATAGCAAGGATGTAAATAAATTTAATAAACTGAATATTGTAAATATATACCTAATGTGAAAGAACATTCTACAACATTGATTGTGACAACAGTTCAAACAATCAGAAACAAGTGATTACATAATGAGCGACCGCTGATCGGAATAAAATGAGTAGAGTTCAGTTGATGAAACAAGATTATTAATTTGGAAGGATAGTTGAAATAAAACTCAATGATGTTGTAACAAATGCAAGAAAGAGTTTAAAGAAAAAGGAAAAAAAAGAATATATTAAGATACAGAGAAGCAATAATATTCAATCTTAATAATCCATAATAAAATATATACAACACAGAGAATAATACTAGTCGCCTCATTTTCTATTTCAGGTTAAGGTATATGTAGAGAGAAAGAGTGAGAAGTGAAAAAAAAACATTATTAAGCTATCTATAGGATCAAGGCAAAATAAATAAATAAGTTTCATTTTCATACAGAAGGAAAAAGGGCCAAAACAACAGTTTGTTAATTTAAATATTAAATAACAAAAAAAACATAATTTTAATAATAGATAATAAAGATTAGACATAATCAAATAGAAGTAGGTTAGATTTTAGGAGTTAACTATTATGTAATTAGTTTACATGACTTAATGAATGTAAACATTTCCATATAACATAATTTGATCATATCTATCTATCTAACTCTCCCTCCATCCCTCCCTCTCTCTCTCTCTATATATATATAGAGAGAGAGGGAGAGGAAGGGAGGATTATTTAGTGGTAAAAGATAATGACTAAAAGCGGACTTTTACAAGTAACCATATTGACAATGATATTATCAAGGTTAAGTAATATATATATTATGTTAAGAATGGTTCATTATAAATCTTATTGTTATATCCTAGCGAAGATTAAATTACGAGTAACTTCTGAGAACTATTAGTGGACTAATATTTTCTATATATTCTTATGGTATAACTATTCAGTAATTAGTTTATGTATATCTATATTCATCTTACTATAAGCTTCATTTTGACTTATAGATTATTATTATACGATTTACTGTTCAGTTTATTGATTATAGTCTCTCACGTTCATAGCCACATTTGACTTTATTTTGTATAAATGTTATTTCTTATTTTATGGTGTGATGCAGTCTGTTTGGCTGGTGTATAAACCAAGTATGTCTGAAATAAATGATTCGCATTGTGGAAGCTGTTATTGACGTTCTGAACTCAACTGGCTGGGCTAGACGGGAAGCAGGACCAATAAGCACGCTAGGCTGATCAGACCGTTCGAACGTCATTGGTTTAGTACAGTACAAGAGTAAGCTGTATTTCGACTGACGAATAAATTACGTGACAACAAGCCGGACTTAAAGTCTGTATTGGTTAATACCGTCAGTTACCCAAACATTAAAACCTTTACTTTAGTGCGATCATCATCAAATATTAGATGAGTATTTTTAAAAACAAATGATTCATATCCAAAGGACTATACAGTTTATAGTCGATTAAATAAAAAACTATTCTACTATGCAATTCATAATTTCATACTAAGACATGTAAAATCAACGGTTTAGAGTTTATTGTAAATTAATTTAGATCATAACATGTTGATTGAAATACAGAAGTTCCAAACCATTAACTAATAAAGTGCTTTGACAAGATTAAAAGTTTAAGTGCAAAATGAAGTTTCAAAGCAATTTAAATCAAATGAAATAATCATATAGAAAAGTGTTTAAAATCAGCAATCATTTCAAATTAATACGGATTTAATGGAAAATCTTTAAAGTAAAAAACAAAGTCTCCGAGAAACGAAAAAAATTATCAAGAGAGCAAAAACAAATAAAGGAAATTACATAAAAAGGAATAACCAGAAAATGACGGGTCAAAATAAGATAATTTTGAGAATCTCGAGCACAAAGAGAGATACACCAACGTCAACCACTGCAAATTACCTCTCTCCCTTCACTCCACAACCGCAGGATCAGAAGATTGCGGGTTCGAGTCCCGTCGGGGTCGGCTTTTAGTCCCACCATCCTGGTCACCTGTCAGCCCACAGTGTGCTCCACCAACGTCAACCACTGCAAATTACCTCTCTCCCTTCACTCCACAACCACAACATTCTCCCCACACACATTCAACACTCCACGACCAACACACCGCAGATGTCGCTGGTGTCGTCCGACCACACCCGAGCAATCGACGTCTCAGTCCAACACCAGCTGCCGAAAACATCACTCACTCATGCATAATTTCATGCACACTATCACACTCACACACACATACACACACACGATGCATCTGACACCTCTTCACCAGTCAGTCTTTACCATGATATTTGTCGGAAAACACGTCACCACTGGTCGAGTTGGTGTGTCGACGCTGACACTACTCCGATCGACAGTAGCACTGTGATGCATGGACGACCCATAAACGATACTCAAGTGACCTTGAGAATGTCCACCTACTTACTAGGGTTAAATGGGGTTTGTAGATTACTGTGAAGCATTAGGATGAGGATTTACATTTGGGCAGTAGGGTTGGGAATTAGAGTCAGGGTTTTCATCACGAACTGACATCAGTTCGTGTGGTATAATGCAGTTTAGACATGTGTATGAATGAATTTCGTGCTGAAATCCAAGACCTGAAGTCTTAAATCGGATTGGTTCGTCCATAAATTATAGTCTCGCCGCATCGACTTCATCTCCGGTGGATAGTTCGTGTCAGCATGAGTCACGAGCTATGCATTCGACCGATCTCAGTGGTGTTTGGCTCACCACACACAAGACACGATTGACCGAAGCTGAACGATCAAGTTTCCACGAACAATTATATAAATATAAATATAATTGTATATATATATATATGTATATATATATATATATATACATATATATATAAATATGTATATATATATATATATATATGCATATATTTGGAGTCGAATATGCATGGATAATTGCATATGCGTGTAGTTGGATGTGACGAAAATAAGTTTGTTAGGGTGTTGTTGAGCAGTATTGAGTGTTTGGTTGAGACAGTGAGTGGTGACTGATGAGCGATTGTGCATGAATGTGTGTGTGTGTGTGTTTGTACGTTTGTGTGTGTGAGGTGAGTTGATGTGGACGGTTGGTGTGAGATAAGACGATGGGTGGGAAGTCGTGGGCTCCGTGGCCTAATGGATAAGGCATCTGACTTCGGATCAGAAGATTGCGGGTTCGAGTCCCGTCGGGGTCGGCTTTTAGTCCCACCATCCTGGTCACCTGTCAGCCCACAGTGTGCTCCACCAACGTCAACCACTGCAAATTACCTCTCTCCCTTCACTCCACAACCACAACATTCTCCCCACACACATTCAACACTCCACGACCAACACACCGCAGATGTCGCTGGTGTCGTCCGACCACACCCGAGCAATCGACGTCTCAGTCCAACACCAGCTGCCGAAAACATCACTCACTCATGCATAATTTCATGCACACTATCACACTCACACACACATACACACACACGATGCATCTGACACCTCTTCACCAGTCAGTCTTTACCATGATATTTGTCGGAAAACACGTCACCACTGGTCGAGTTGGTGTGTCGACGCTGACACTACTCCGATCGACAGTAGCACTGTGATGCATGGACGACCCATAAACGATACTCAAGTGACCTTGAGAATGTCCACCTACTTACTAGGGTTAAATGGGGTTTGTAGATTACTGTGAAGCATTAGGATG